CTTTTTGTTACATTTGTTGTATTTGTGCTGATAAATAAATAAAGGGAGACTAGTATAGATCTATTTCAAGCTATTTAGCTCTCATCAGCTAGCCATTCCCTTACTGGGATTTGAACCTGGGCTGTATTACATACTGCATACCGGGGGTTGTAAAATCTAATAGACAACACAAGTTTGAAACCCCTGTACTAGTCCATCAGTTTTCTTTTCCACAGGCGAACTGAGAATCAACTTCTCCCATGGACTTTTCCTTCTGAAAATAAAAACTTTATTTCTGAAAATACTTTTGAAACCATCAAACTCCTTAAAGAATTAACAAGAAAATAGGAAAGCAACAGCAATCTACTTTTTCTGGTTATCCTTATTAGCAGAAGAAATATATTTATATATATACTGGCGTGTGTGTGTGTGTGTGTGTGTATACACACACACATATACACGCATACACACACACGCACACACTGTATATATACCACACATATACATTTGTGTGTGTGTGTGTGTGTGTAGGTGTGTGTGCATAATTTCTCTGTGAAGAGCTCTGTAAGAACATTATTCAGAACGGCACAAACATACCCTAGCAACCGAACACATCAGAAAAAGAAAACAGACTGTATAACATCTTCCAGCAAATAATTCAACCCGCTACAATAGATCCAACATATTTTTTTTATATTTATGTTACCTTTTCATTCTTTTGAAGCATGATGTCAGAGAGATAGTGTAGTGTGTATTAATTATCTCAGAAGAATGAGACATATTCCTTGATAGTTTTTAGGGGAAAAAACCATAATTGTTTCAAAGGACAATTGCTTCTTAATGTTGCTGAATTAAATGCCAAAGGGCATTATTTTTATGATTATTTTATTGCAAAAGTTTTAGAAAAGCTGTAGAAACTTACACCTAGATTGTGTAAATTTTCTAGTTTACAATCCAGTAAATAGTAATTTGTCAATGGCTTTGTCACTGCTGGAGGGAGGGGAGGTTGTTCTGCATTAAAGGTAAAAAGGTTATTAACAGAAATGAAATTTTAATGTTGATTTGCTGGCAATGGTTAAATATATTTTTAAGAATGCTAGGATGTATTTAATGGTTTTATGTATAATGCAATTAAGATATGCTTCTGTTTTTATTATAATTTTAATTTCTCAAAAAAAAAGTTTTTTATATTGTATCTGTAGTGTACTCGCCTTATTGCCTAGTTTCTGTGAAGTGAAAGAAAACCTGTCTACAGGAAAATGGACATTTGATACAATACATTTTTCTTTTTTCACAATATTAGCTTGGCTCTACCAGTGTTCAGTTTAAGGAGCCACGGATTACCTTTAATAATGCTCCTCTTCATTTAACCACTTACAGAACAGCCATTCTTCAAAATTTGGGACATAACCATGCATATTTTCAGGTAAGGTATATTCACAATAGAGATTGGAGTGTGTATAATATAGCTTTACCATGGATATTCCAGCATGTTTGGTAGTAGAATACTTTTAAGATAGTGGGGGAAAATAACATTTATAATACTGTACTTGCTTTTGTTGACAGGTCCTTGATGTCAATCCAATTCCTGGAATGATTATAACTCCTTTTCAGGGTGTAATTGCTGTGGGAGGCTGCACTGAAATTAAAATTTATTTCAAACCCAATGCATTAATGAAATTTGACAGCAGAGTAGAGGTATTAGAATTGTTGTTCAAAAGCTTTTATTAATTTGGATAATAAATAAATATTGTTTCCAAATATATGCATATTTTAAAGTTTTACTCTGTGAAACCCATGATTAACCATGATTAGCTGACTTTCGGTAACAACATAAAATGTATGTTAATATTCTGTTTGCTAAATGGATAAACCGTCAGCAGTACTATTAGTAGATTTTTGCTTCTGTGATATTCATCTGAAACTTCTTACAATATAGTGGTACTCAGTATTCCACTACTTCAAACCTTGTTGAATTTGGTACTCAAGGCATTTTGATGAGAAAATGTTGTCCCTTTACTCCTGGATTCTTTGGTAATTGGCATTCTGTAAAAGGGAGAGAGGGATGGCCACAGAGGCAGGAAGGCAGGAAGTTGGCCATCCTGGGAAGGTCATAGGAAATGAGATAGGCAGAAAGTTTTTCTGGCAAAAACAAAGAGTCACATGCAAAGGTGGGTTGCCAATTTTTCTACTACCGGTTTGGGAATGCGCACAATGCTTCTGCACATACACAGCGGGGGGGGGGGGGGGGCAGAGCCTCCTGCCGCTGCTACTACTGGTTTGCCCGATCTGGGCCAAACCAGGAACAACCCACTTCTGGTCACATGGCAAGTCACCTGGTTTATTTGGCAACCATAGTTTTTTTACTACCCATTGTGCCTCCCAGAACCAATTAATGCCTTGTACTGAGGTAACACTGTATTTTAGAAGCAAAGATTTGAACACAGAAAGGGAATTGACTATTACAAAGTTGACAATGAATAATCTTAGCAGAAAATGCAAAGAACAAGTAAATAAAGTAGAAATGAAACTGAAAATGAGAAATTAGAAAATCACTTTTGCCCCCTCATTATTTAGGTAGAAATACGCAATGCAAAATCTTTGGAATTTAGGATTGGTGGATCAGTAGAGGTTCCTGACATACATATCAGTGTGGTAAATATATAATATTTTATGCTTTTAGGTTCTAAGATTTGTAGTACTGAATATTATGCATTTATTCATAGGGAAGTCCCATTCATTTTAATGAAAGGATAAAAAATAATAAAATTTAAAATGCTCTGTGATGCTAAAAGATCTGTGTGTATAAACATGTCCTCAATCTCAAATATGTTTACCTGAGATAATGTCATTACATAAATCAATATTTTTGTCTTTCCAAGAATCTCAGAAAATTGTATTATGAAAAGTAAAGTAGGTGTAATAAATAATAGCACATCCCTTTCATAAAAATAAGAAAATAGTAGTTGATAACTCCACAAAGTCTAAATTGTTCACATTCTGTTTCTAGAATGTCCATTAGGTCCTGAGAATGTTTAAGATTGTTACTTCTTAGTTCATGGTAAACTATTCTTTAAGGCAATGACACATCTTTGTCATGATCATTATGGTGATGTAAATTCTTTGGAAGAGTTTTTTGTGATATGCAGGAGATATATGAAGTTTCTGTCTTCAGGTTATTAAAGCAAATCCATCATTTTCCATATTTATTTGACTGTTTCATTAAGCTGTTCCATAATGTCACATATTCACAATAATATTTATTGTTATATCTCCATATGTATGAAGACATCCTATTTTCTACAGTTTCCTCAACATAATTGTTTGCAGTTTTCCTTCTTACCATTATCTTGGTCACTCAAATGATTATTTACTGCTTTCTTTAAAGTGCTCTTTTATCTTCCCTGGTGTTTATGTGGATTCTACTCAAGAAATACCATTTTCTATTGAGAACAAAGGAAAGTCATATGCTAAAGTGACAATAGATTTGTCTGAACATGATGACTTTACTCTACATTTTCAGCCAGGTATTTCTTAATTTAAAATTGTAATTGTCTAGAAAAATCTGTTTAGTTTTTTTAAAGAAAAGCCTGTTATATTTATCTTAAAATCTAAACATTTAAAATAATTTAAAGAAGTTTTACCAATAAAGGAGAATATTTGTAGCTCAGGATTGAAATGGGGGGTCCTTGCTGCTCTCTGAGCTTGCTTGTTTTCTTGCAGATGTTTCACTACCCTAACTAGTTAACATCATCAGTGCTAGTAAGTGCTAGTACGGAGTGCTGTTTGCTGTCAATTTATATTCTGGTGTCTTGCCTGCCTGTGTGAGTGGGGGTTGTCTTTAGGATTCTTTAGTTGGACTGTTTACTGATAGCTCTTTGGCTGTTTCTTGATTGAGGTATTGCTTACTTGATTGTTGATCTGAAGTTGACCTTGGAGATCTATGCTGATCCAAGTACTGATTACTGGTGGAAAGATGCTGGAATCTTTTTCTCTTTTGGGCTGGTTGATTCCCTCTTTTGCATGGTCTACATTATAGATCAGGGGTCTACAACCTTCAACACTCAAAGAGCCATTTGGATGCATTTCCCACAGAAAAAACACTGGGAGCCAATAATAACCGTTGTGACTGGGTGGGCATGGCCAACTCAATGTCACTCACTCCCACCCAGTCACATGACACCACCATCCGCAGCTACGCCTACCCAGCCAGTCATTAGGACAGAGAATCGGTTGTTAAATTATTTGCCCTGCCTGCCCTACCTCATCCTTCTCCTCCCAGCCACCTCTTGCCACACCCGGTTTTGAGTGTTTTGTTCACATCTCTCTCTCTCTGTCAATATTGCCCTCTGTCTCTGTCTCTCTCTCTTCTTTCTTTCTCTCTCTTTCTCTCTCTTTCTCCCTCTCTCTGTCTCTTTCTCTCTCTCTCTGTCTTTCTTTCTCTCTCCCCCCTACCTACCTCTCCCCCACTCTCATCCCCACTTCCCAAACCACACACCCAGGGAACAACTGTAAGGAAATTTGGCAACCTTTTCTCTTTCTCTGGAAAGATACAAAAATAAAACTTGCAATGCAAAAGGGGTGACTGTCAGGCTGTTACATCACAGCACTATGAGATTGCCGCCTTAGATCGCCACACACACTTCAGAGAAGCATCATCCCAAGCAGCAGCACAATCACACAGGCATGCATATGCATCCTGCAACTCGGTTCAAAGGAGCCAGAAAATATAGTCCCTGGATGCTCCCGAAAATGCTTGGCAGGCAACGTTTGAGACCACCCCACATCACAAAGGCAGCCTCCACTGAATCCTTGAAAAACTGGGGAAAGGCAGAGAGAGGGGAGCAGACGGAGCCGAATCAAGTCGAATCTCTCTCTCTCTCACTCTCTCTCTCTCTCTCTCTCTCACTCACTCACTCACTCACTCACTCACTGCCTGACACGGCAAGAAACGGCAGGAAGCTACTTCCGGCCTTTGTTGGTCCTTGACGTACAACCTGCTCTCTACCTTGAGACACTGACCCACCTTGCACTGCAGCCAACATTGCTGCTGTTGCCAGGGGTGAATGGGGCAGGGTCACATTGTGGCTCTGCGTCGTAATGGGCTCCCAGAGGAGGAGGGGGCACCATCTCCCCCATTGTGAAACATGCTAACTTTCACTGTGCTGCGCAAGGCACTGTGAGAGCAGCAGGTATGACATGGAGGCAGCAACAGCAGTAGCATCAGGAGTCGCAGCAGAGGACTGAAAGAGCCACCAGTGCTGCGGGTTGCTGACACCCAACATAGATGTTGTTAATGCCTATGAGTCTGTTGATGGCTGATTTGTCAGAGTATCAGGCTTCTAGAAATTCCCTGGCATTTTTGGATTTGGCCTGGTCTAGGATTGTCACATTTTCCTAATCAAAACTATGATTAAATCTGTCTATATGTTGGGAAATTAAAGATTTTTTTGTCATGCCTCTGACTGCCAGTTGGTGATCATGGATATGTTCTGCCAGTCTTCTTCCTATTTGTCCTACATGGTGGTTGTTTTTTGGTTTGCTTAGGATGTTTGGCTTGTGTATTAATCTGATTCCATGTGGTTGTAGTAGTCTATTTGTAGTTTCTGAGATATTCTTGATGTATGGCAGTGTAATTCTTTTTAGCATTTGTGTTGGTTGTGCTGTATTGGATTGAGTGGTCAAGGACTTTTTAATAAAGTTGAGTTGGTATCATTTTGTTGGAATGTGTTGTATAGATACTCCATTTCCTTTTTCTGCTGTTCTGGGTTGCTACAATGTGTTTGGGACAATTTAAATGAAGTCCTTATGCAGTTTCTCTTGTGGGAGTTTTGGTTGTTGCTTTAGTAGTTAAGCATCTGGTTAGTATGGGTGGTTTTTCTGTAGACTTGCATCTACAGAAATATGTTTTATTTAAATATAAACATTTATGTATTTATTCAGAGAGTTCCATTTAGTAAGTTTATTAAAACTTTCTACGTTAAAAGTGATGAAGATTAGTTGTAAGTCTGTACATATTCTTTTGATGTTCTTACATCTCATAATAAAACAATATCAACCTGAAAAATATGTGGAGTGTTCCTGTTTAAAAATGTGGCCACCTTCTCTAGCACCTTCTTCCAAAAGTGAAAACTGGATAAAAATTGTCCAGAATGGTTTGGTTTATTTGGGGGAAGGCGGGGAAGCTAAAATAGATGTGGCTAATAGCTGCCAGAACCCTGACAACTTTATCAGGCCCAACAAAAACAAATTCCTTACAGAGGCTCAATCATCTTTACAGGATTTGCTTCAAAGCCAGAGTCTAATTTAGTGTGAATCTGATCAACTTCCTCCTTTAGATTTCTTGTATATTCGTTACAATGACCTTGTAGATCAGACATGTCAAACACAAGGTCCGCAGGCTCATGGGGCTTTCCCGGAGATGGTGAGGGACCAGCCCCTGCCGCTCCAACCACAGCCCACCCCAGCTGGATGCCCTCCCGGCATGTGCACAGGAGGCACTGAGTGTGTGGGGGCTGATGGTGTCTGGCAGCAGCCCGTCCACCTACCCCCAATGGCCCTGGCAAATGGGAAGGGTGGGGAGCAGGCTTGCTGGGGGATGAGGTTGGACAGTGGGTGCTGAGGGTCCAGGGGCCTTGGTGTGGTGGTGACGGTGGCCAGTTGGGCTGCCTCGCTGCAACTCCATCATCTGTCTTTGTTTGCCCAGGCCGCAAATATTGAAGTCGGGTCTCTAATCAGTTTCAGAGTTTTGTTACTTAATGCATGTGCCAATTGTTGGATTTGGCTTTGTGGCAGCTTACTTTCTTCTCAGCTATTCATCAAGAAAGCTACTCCATGTTCACCACATGAGTCATACTACGAGTAAGATGCAAGGGGAATGTGGGCAATGCTAGGGTCCAATAGTGTGATTGGGGGATGACTGCAACCAGATCTTAAATATTTGAATGCTAGTACAGACTGTAACAGTCTCTTATTTGTACTATTGGATATAGTTGGTGCCTCCAGTTTGCTTATAACTTTCTGTGTTCACCATGAGCAGGACTTAAATCAATAGAATAGAAATATACTATTGTAAAAATTGAAAGTACAAATAATTAGTAAAATTATTTTTATATTTTCTGATAGATATGCATAATACATCAGAGGCATCTCGAGTATATCGTGTGACTATAGAAGCCAATACTATTATGGACTGTTCTCTGAATTTCACACCAAAAGAAGTATGTTTTAGTGAATATTAATCTATTTATATTGTTTTAGAATGTTATTTCCCATTTTCCCTGCCCAGGTCCTGTTGGGCTACTGCATTAAGGCAACATGTGCCTGTATGTACGAATGTGTGTGTATTCCTGGGAGGGGTGAGTAAAAAACATTGAGAGGATGTGCCAAGATTATATTTTCCTAGTAGAGTCACCCACCATATAAAGATCCCAACTCAGCTAAAATAAACAGGCATCTATATTGGCCAGCAGCAGCAATTCTCACTCATACTGTAATGAGAGTTGCAAATTAATTACTGCACGGGAGAAAGAAAAAGTAAACCATGCCTATATTTTTTATCAATAAAGCCACTTGGATAGAAAATATAAAATGATTGATGATACCACACAACATCTGTAAAGATATTGAAGATGGAATCAAACAAGGAAATAAAAGGAAAGCCTTTTCAAAGATTTCTAAGCTCAGGTTCCAATCTTGAATTGGACACGCTAAAAAAATCCAGTGGATAGATCATAACCAATTTAAAGGTTATTAAACAAAGATAGAAATTGTATATTGAAATGCTATATAGTAGAAATGTCTACATTCAAGATTCCCTAGAAGATACATATTTCTTATTTACAAGAAACTCTGGTACTAGATGGTGACTTTAGATCACCATCCTGATCATTACCCAAATCAAAAGGCTACAGGAATTGATGGAATTACCCATTGATATACAGCAAGCAACAGAAGGTTGGTCAACGCTTGGTCAAAGTTCAAACAAAGCTATGCCAGCAAATCTGGAGAATGACAATGGGCACAGATTGGAAGAGATGAGTCTACATTCCAATAACTAATAAGTGTGCAAACTATTGTACATATCCTTAATGCCATATGACAGTAAAATAATGGTTAGGATTATCCAATGCAGATTAGAACCCTATGTGGAAAAAGAGATGTCAGATGTTAAAACAAGTTTTAGAAAAGGCCATATATGAGACCTAATTGCTATATAATTGAGAAAGAGAAAAAAATATAAAAAGTGACTATGTCTATCATTGATGATCAAAAAGTTTGTGACTGACAAATTACGGGATGTGCTCAAAAAAGAGGAATCGCAGAACATCTCATTGTACCCATGAGAAATTATATGCACATCAGAAAGCAAATTATGGACAGCCTGACTCCAGATTGGCAGACGAGTGAGACAAGGCTGTATATCTTCTCTTATATACTCAATTTATATGCTTATATATATTAAGGGAAGTTGGATTAGAAGAAGATAAATGTGGTTTTGAAATTGGAAGAAGTAATTTCCATTACTAATTTTGGAGATGTTTTCTTTAAATCACCCAGTACTAATTCACGGTGATTCCCAATTCTGTTTCCTGTTATCAACAAACTCTCTTCAAATATATTGTATCAGTTTCCTTATGGTTTGCACTGCCAATGGGAGATAATAGTTGATACTTCTGAAAACTATTGGACTGGGAAAAATTGATCTACATAACATTGGAAAAGGTTTACTGTTCTGCCCCCCTCGTCCTACACCAAAGCACGCCGAGACAAAGATACTGCATTTATTAACACACAGACAGGACCTTGGCAGCAAGCCAGCACAGACTAACCTTGGCAGCAATCCAGCTTGCCAAGCTAGCCACGAAAGTTCTCCAACTTTAGTGAATACGTTGACTCCTGCAAAGGGGCGTGTGCACAATCATTCCTTTTATAGTCTTGAGAGGAGCCTAATTACCACCAGCTGAGTCCAATTATCTCCTGTAATTGTGTAATTGTTCCT